TATTATTAATAAATTTTGGAAGTAGTACGGAAAATTTGCCGGGAATCAGAAATTAGGGGCAAATTTGCCCCGAATACGGATTAAGGGATAGTAAGTTTGCCCTATTTTTATTATATAAATTTCCTGTTACGTGAATTGTTAATTAAGTTTTATAATATCGATATATAATGATAAAAAAATGTCGTTAACCTCTAGGCTACTTGATATCAAATTTTAAATAGCGATTACGTAACTGATTTTGGGTGAGTGAAATAGTCTTGGCGCAAAATTTGGCGGTCCCGTGATTTTTACCCAATCCGATTATAAGATTTCGGCACAAAAATTCGGCTATTTTATTAATGCGTTTAGACAGAATTAGGGTAGAATCGTTTTTGGATTAGTCACGGGACTGCCAATTTTTTGTGCCATGACTATTTCACTCATTTTGGTGGTCATGCTAGGGGGTTGGTTGTCCCTCGGTGGCGCATATGTAAAACTAGATAACTGCATGACGTTAACATGCAACGAGATTTTACAATTAAGCAATGCATGTTGTGAGGAGCTCCTGTTATTGTTTTTATATCCTTGGTATCGAGTTAGTAGCTTTAAGATTTTAAGAAATGAGAATAATGCTTATACAAAGTGCCTCCACAAAATACATTCACTTTTGGATATCAGATATACAAAAAGGTATAATGGTGTTTATACAAAGAGCCTCCAAAAGTGCTTTTCCACACTCAGAATTGAGTAGATTAAATTCAATATTTGACAATCTAAAGCGTTGTCATATAAAAAACCTCTGCCAACGCTTTCCCGCCTTCAGAACAGAGAAATTATGATTGAGATTAAAAGAAGTTAAAGTAATATTCATGCAACCGAGACGATTAAGTTTTATTATTTAAAGAAGTTAAATAAAGAGCCTCCATCAATGCTTTCTCATCTCCAGAACAGATTTTATTGAGTTTACACGAAAGATTTCAGCTATTACTTTTCCACCATTATCACCCAGATCATTATGCTAAAGGCATAGTTAGGTAAGAATAGTATCTTACAAATATTTTCTATAACCATTATTCTATTATAAATAATTTGAAAAATAGGGGGTGCCAGTAGAAACCAAGCAATGTTTCTAAGTAAATTTTTAAAATAAAATATCCCAACAACTATCAAACCAAACTTGATAAAATTTTTTTTTTATTTTAATTCTATGTAGTTATAGAATTAAAATAAAAAAAAAACTTTTATCAAAATTTGAATAAAAACAATTTGCTTGGTTTCTACTGGCACCCCCAAATGCTAAGTATTTAAGTCTCTACTTGCTTGCAGAAACATTGTAACTAAAGAATATTAATAGCACTTCCAAAAGTAGAAAATTCATTTCTATGCCAACAATTGAAGGCATATTCTTATAAACCTTTAATTACATAAAATTGGCCAGCACCATAATACTGGTACAATAATTCTACACCATTGCCGGTTTACAGGAAGACACGAGGATATGCTTCCATAACAAGACCGGAAGTTAATGTCCGAAACGTAGCGAGGACTTAATGGTGTAGTCATAGACCAGATTTTGTGTGTGTTTATGTCCGTACCATCGCTATATTTTATCGTTAGCCATTTTTAATTAATTCATGAAATTTTTGGCTTCGGACATCTAACAGCATTTGTTTTCTAGTAATATATCTAAAAGGTATTCACTCGGTCACGTTAAAGTATTGTTGATATATGTGGATAGAAAGGTAGATTTTGATAACTAATGTTCACTTATTGAACCCAGCCTCTGTAAATTGATCTCGCAACGATTACGTGAGATCAAATATATCCTTTCTAGTTAAGGTTCTGCAAACGCCGGCACATGCACTATTAAAACATAGTGCACCATGTTTTAATAGGGCACTTACTGAACCCTAGTTCTATTGTAGCTATTTCGATAACATGTGCTAGTTATCAAACGGCAAAATACTTTTCCTAATTGGATAAAAATTTACAGTTCGTACTGTTCCTGATATGTTCTAACAAAGAGCTTAAAATATAATACTATAATACAACACTATAGAGAAGGAAAAGAATCGCATCGGGGATCTTTTTCAAGAACAATACATGACTTTTTTTTATCCATCTGAACTAATAATGCCGCCCATCGAGCGCTATTTTTGCAATATATATATTATAGTATTTATTTATTAAAATATAATTTTAATCTTAAAAAAAAGTCACCCGGTCGGAGTTCTCATTGCCTAAATATGCTAGCTTTTTTTAAAAAAACATTTCTATCCTATTTAATTAAACTAAGTAAAATTTTTATTAACATAGCTTATATAAAGATATCTTTATAGCAAAATATGGTATGATCAGAGAAAAAAGAAAATCCAAAAAACCTTTATCATCCTTTAGAGATATATTGAAGGAACTAAGAGATAAACAACTGATCCCTTTGAATCCAATTCCGAATTCAATGACCCACAAATAATTTTATCGGAATTGATATTAACAAATCCATGATGTTCATGTGTTGTGCAATCCATACAATCGAATTTCTGATTCATCAAGATTAAATTATTTTTAAATTGATCAAAATTTTCTTTGCTATGCATATATAATATATTGTTTCCTTTTTCCCATTCAATATCCATTTCTTCCCATATTTGGTGGGGATTAGTCGTATCTACAGCACTGTTAAATAATAGGTAAAATATTAATATGCTAATTTTTACGGGTTTAAGCGGAATTGTAGAAATCAGATGTCGACCCAAAAAATAATATCAATTCTTATTTACAAAAAATTTAACAAAACAATAAAAACAAATTAGAATCAATTCAGTAAAAGTATCAGGTTCAAGAAGATAATATCGTACAACTGGTGTTAAAATTATCTAATGCCGAGAAATTGGGATCTTTATTTGAAGGTATAAATTCTGTTAAATCCATATACAGTCAGACCTCTAAGTGCACCCTCTATAAGTGCACACCCTCTCGTTCAAGCGCTGGCCCAAATATATACTTGATCTCTATAAACGCATTTTTTCTTATTATGCACGTTATTAAAGTGTGGTCCCAAGGGCGTGCACTTATAGAGGTCCGACTGTAATACTTTTAAGTTAAATATTGTTTCACCTACCAAATGTATAAGGCCAATCGTTTTAAAACTGTTTCATTTGTTACTTTTTTTCTTCCTTTTTCGGTATTCTCATAAATGAACAACTGTGCTGACTCCTGAGAAGTAAAATAATTGCCAATGACGTATGGTGATTCTCCCGGGTTGTATCTATTAATGTCATGAGTAATCTTTCCCGTATCTGAATTATTAGAACATGATTCAATTTGTGCAGTATTGTTAGTTGTTTCTAATACGCAAGTGCCTAACTTGCTACAGCTATTTATTATGTAATTATCTTTATCTACAAGAACAGATTGCTTTTCGCTTGTGAGCACTAGCGGATATTGAATGCTAAAGTCGAAACTTGTTGGCGGCCCGACAATAATCCAACAAAGCTTAATTTTAACTTTCTTGGCTTTTTTAGGCTTAAAAAATTTAAACACAGAGTTTTCTTCTTGTTCTTCTTGTATGTGATGAACAACAAATACCGGACGATTTTTATCTTCATTCATATAATCTACATGTAGCGAAAATACGTTGTGAGATTCACTCACAATTGATGCAAAAAATATTGCATTCTCTTATGTTCTTGATTTCGTTTATGTGTGGAGATAAATGATGAATGTTATTAGTGATGCTAGACCCATTAAGCAACATGCCTATCAACTCTTCTCTAATGCACAGTATGGTTTTTTATTTGTTTTATATTCTTCTATATCAAAGCTTCTTTCATCAATTTTTGCTGTCATTTTGCGAAGAGACAAAAATAATTGATTTTATGAATAAATATAGAAAAAGAATGATAATGTTAAGCCTTTACCCTTTAAAATCCGGTGACCCAAGACGCCCAAAACCTTTTTCTGCAAAGATTCGTCCAACAATTCAAACAATGAAAAAATTTTATCATATCCAACTATTTCCCAAGTAGTTTCATCTTCAAGAGATTCTCTCCAAGGGTTTTTATTATTGGATTGAAAATTTCTTCCACCAAGATGTGATTCGCTATTATTTTTAATGGAGTCACAGAAACTATTAATACTTTCATTATTACGGACAAAATTAACTTGTGTATCCTTATCATTGTCATTAGAAGTTTCACCTACAATAGATTAAATATAAAATTAAATTATCGAAATCAATAGTTTATTAAAAACAAGAAAAGAAATGCACCGGAATTTTTGCTATCTTCTACTCCAGCTTGCATATTAATATTATTGATCTTAGAAGTTTCACCTATAGTAGATTGTAGATTTAACATGCAATTGAAGAAATCAATGATTTATTGAAAAAATTTAATGTATATACCTGAATTTTTTATATATTTTTCGCTCCTCATTATGATCCCTCCCAAAATAAGACGCCGTGCATAAAAATGACCATATTTTTCAAATACTTTGCGAAGTTCGCCTAAATTATCCTGTATTGTTTCGTTTAATGCCTTTTTAACATCATTAATGAAATCGTCTTTTGCTACAATATCAGAAATAGTTATTTCGCCTTTTTGTATCAATTCACACGAATGTTTGGTATTCGCTGTGTGGTAAATACGCCCTTGATTGGAATTTTTATATGACAAACAAAGAAAAGCAGAAACCAATCCTGAATAAGCAGCCGGAAACTTTCCATCACATATGAGAGATCACTTACAATCTATGGTTTTTTCATGTTTGCATTCATATTATTTTTCCAAGTGTAAATAACTTTTCTCTATTATAATTCTATCAATACTTATTTGAAATGCTTGAGCATCTGCTTTTGTTATAGAATCATCTTCGTTGAGTTTGAGCCCTTTTTCAAATCTTAACTGTTAAATCGAATTTAGCATTATGCTTAATATATAAATAATGTTTTAAATAAAGTTGGTCGTTTTTTTCTTCAATTCTTTCTTCAATGATAGCCGAAAGCTTATAAGTAATCTCGTCATCTAGCCTGATCGTCGCTTCATCGTTGTTAAAATGTAAAAAACGACAATTTGATCCCATGTGGAAGTCACTATCATTACCATGTTCATTTGTTGAAAGCTTCTTGCGAACCTCATCAAGTTTAATTTTTCGCGGCAACTTTATGCAATCTACAGTTGATAATTCCGGATTACTTGATTGGTTAATTTTTTTATATAATTTAACGATGATTTCGATTTCAACGTCTTCATTTTCGTTATTTAATTTTTGTCGTTTATATTTTTCATATTTTTCATTATTTTCATTATTATTTTCTATCTTTTTTTTCGTCATTTTGTTGCTCATCGGAGCACTTATACTGTATACAGTCAGATCTCTAAATGCAACATTTAACTCTGCCTCAAGACCTCCATAAATA